AAAAAATAATAATAATAATAATAAAAAAAAAAACAAAAAAAAAAAAACTAACCAGCACCATTTCTACATGATCACTGAAACTCACACACCTCGATCGTGTAGGGCTAACAAGACTCGTTCATATAAGCAGGCTCTGTAGAGGTCTCCAGGAATAGGTTTTCCCGCCCAGCAGTCAAGTTCAAGCTTCTCTGGGTCAGGGGCATGAGGATCAGGCTCAGCTAGAATATATCGGTAGCCATCTTTGTTGAATGGATGTTCCAAAGGGTAGCCATGAGGAGGAAGACGCTGAGCAGAAAACAAAGGGTCACTGAAAAAGAAAAAAGAGAGAGAGAAAGAGAGAGAAACTAAATGAAACTGAAGAACTGAAACCCTCTCTAGTCCACTTTTCTTCTATCCTTTAAGAAAGGCCTTGGATTTGTTGTTTCCTATGAAGCACACACAACTTTACAACAAATGTCTTGTTTAACTTCAATATATCACCTTACCCCTGCAGAGATTTGGTTAAACGACTTGTATTTGTAGAGAACTGACAACTAACTCCTGGGGAATTTTACACACATGCTGTTGGTCACCTTTCAAGCTGACTAGTCATATTAAGGGAGAGAGGCACAGGAGGAACAGTGAATGAGGGTGGTTTCTTTTAAGACATTTACTTTATTTTTAAAAGACTTGTTTTTATTTTACATGTATGCTAGACCCATACATATATTCATACACTGCACATGTGCCTGGGTGTCCGTGGGGGCCAGCAGAGGGCATCAGATTCCCCTGGAACTATAATTACAGATGGTTGTGAATTACCATGTAGGTGCTGGGAACAGCCCTCTGCAGGAGCAACAAGGGCTTTCTTTTCCCCAGTCATGTCTCTAGCCCTTGTTTTACTTAATTTCTGAGACAAGCAGTTATGTATCCCATGTTGGCCTCCAGCTCCTTATGTAACTGAGGGTGACCTGGGAACTGGGATCCTCCTCCTTCTACCTTCACAGTGTAAGGATTAGAGGCATGTGCCGTCGCCCCTGTCTATCCAATTCTGGGGATCAAACCCAGGGCTTGAATATGTGAGGAAGAACTCTACCAACAGAGCTATTCACATCTGCAGCCCCCTTTAGTTCATTAGTATATAAACCAAGGGACAGAAACCTAGAGCCAAGAGATTTACTCCTTGTTGCCAGTCTAAATCAGAAGTGACCTGGATTTCATCACCTCAGCTTTGGACAAAGAAGAGACACAAGAAAGGAGAGGCAGGATGTTAAGGAGCTAACATTTAGTAAGCTTTATTTTCTCTTCCCCACCTAGCCTTTTCAGGATCTCCTAGGGAACTTTAGCCCCCAGAATAGAAGATACTGTTGTTAGGACTGTTGCTATTTCAATGCTGGGAATTCAACCTGAGGCCTCACAATGCCAAGCAAGACCTCTATTACTGAGCTGTATTCCCAGAGCAAGGATCTGTTTTTATAGTAATGAGTTCGTAAAAGAGAAGACCTCACCTGAAGTTATTCTTAGAAGGGGCTCAGGACTCACCAAAACCAAACAAATATAACCCCACATAAAACTCAAGAATATGGTTCTTTCCCTTACAGTGGACTTTGCCCACAGCAAGCAACCAGGGCGAGGGTGAGTGGGGTGGGGTGTAATCACACCTTCGGGCCTTCTTGGTGGTCCCTGTTGTCCCTCCATCTTGCTGTTTACGCTTGGCTCCTCTTCCTTTCCCACTGCTTCCTGCTGCGATTCCCCCTTTGAAGAGAAGGCACATCATTTTCACAGAGGCACTATGGGGGCACAAGGGCACTCAAAGTCCATGGCGACTACCATTCCCAATGTGCATTTGTGTAACACCACAGACAATTTTTGTTCTTGATGTATACTGGATTTTAGCCTGGTTCTGAAAAGTTCAGCTGTATTTCACAACCAATATCCTGAGCCAACATCTAGGATGCCTGATATCTGAGTTATATCTTCAACCTTCCTTTCTTCTTAAAAAAAAAAAAAAAAAAAAAAAAAAAAAAAAAAAAAAAAAAAATTTAAATTAAATTAAATAAGCAAACCAAGCAATCAATTAACTAAGGTGTATGTAGAGGTCAGAGGCTAGCTCTGCAGAACTGCCTCTGTACTTTACATGGGCTTGCAGCAAGAAAGCCTGGCTAAGTCATCTTCCCAGTCTTTCTCATGGATGTAACCAATGGTGCTTTATGGGGCTGTGACACAAATGCACTTGTGCTCAAGAGTCCAAGCACCCGAAGCTAAAAAACAATGAAAACATTTACATGGACTCTATTTTTTTTTCATCACTTAATACAAACATCATTAAAAATGTCCTTCCTGAAGGTCAATGTCCACTTTCTTGAACTGCATGATATGTTTCATAAACATAGAAAGGCATTATCGACATAAAGCATTTGAATATCCAGCAAGACAAAAGTACACCAAACATAGAAAACAAAAACATAAATACTAAAAAGGTGTTTCTCTCCAGTGTTGATAAATTCATCATGGTTACACATGACTCAAGAACAGAAGCTAAATTTAGTAAACAATTTTTAGTTCCATATCAATACACTTAAGACTGTGCCAATGATATCTAGTAGGTTACAATAGCTTGATTTGTGGAGTTAAGGGCAAATAAAACAATTTATATATATTTTATATTAGAACATTTAGCTATATATTTTTGTAACCAGAAGTATTACCTTACGTGTTTTGAAGTAAGTACTTTGTAATCTTTTCTCATTTCTATCATTCCTCTCAGTTTGTTTTTCTCTTTCCAGAAAATGGTCCCTGAACTGCAGGAAAACACCTTTATATAAACAACTGCATAGAGTACTATACGTAAATTTGGAACAAGCTTGAAAATTATCAGCAGTTCTGCTGCAATAAAAAGAATGAAGACATGGAGGGCAAGTCATATTCTGTACACATGGTACCAGATTAATTCAGAATATGCTTTTATGAACCTGTTATTCACACAGCTCATAAAAGGTTTAACGTTCAACAATTATGATGACATGAGTATCAATCAAAAGCCTGCCAAATCCTCTATTACCATTTAGCACTGCTTGAACAGTGTAAGCAACACTAAAGGGGACTGCTGGCTGGCCATGTTAGGCAGAATATGACAACATCAAGCTTCTATTCCCACCATTAAACTGGAACTACAGCTCCATGGTAAATGCTGTCACACCACTCTCACAATGCTTTAAAATTATGGAGTTTAGCTTCTACCAAAGCTCAGCAGAAAGCACTTCAAACCACAAGATACTTAAGTCTGAGGATGAAAGAAGACAGAGAGGAATTCACCTCCCAAAGTGGCTCCACCTGTAAGGACAGAAGCGGCACTATGTATTGTCAGATATCAACTGTCTCAAAGGGAAAACACGGTGTAAGAACAGAAACAGTACACTTGCATTTTCAACACGCCTTAGAACGCTAACTGTGGACTATATATTTAAGATGCTTTGACTCTAAAAGGCAAGTTAACGAATGATGCCATGTGTGCATGAACACCTACCAAGCTGCTACCCAGCCCCTAGTCCTCATTAGATTAGCAGCAAAGAGAATTCCAATTCTCTCCATTAATTAGATGGATTACCAAACAGGGGATGGGGGGAATGCCACAGTGGGCGATTCATACAGAAAGGCTGACATATGATTATGCTGAAACTCAGGGCAAGAAAAATTAGATGGACAAAGGCAGCTTGTCAAGTAATTGTTGAGCTATGGAAAAATAGTGGAAAGCAAATGAATTTCCCAAATTAAGTGTTTATTATGATAGAAATCTGGAATCAAACAAAAACACAAAAAGTCTAACCTTAAAATTATACAGTGTCTTACATGAAATCTCATTTCAGTCCAAATTGAGTTTGGGAGGACATCATTAATGTCTGATGTATGCATAATTAGAGATTCACAGTTCATCCTATTAATGTATATAACTAATCTGTTAATAAAATACTACTAAGACCAAACTTCTGTAAAGTGACAAAAGCTCTCTTTCATTATCATTTCCCAAGTGGAGACACTTTAGTTAGCTGCTAAAATCTGAGTTTTGAACTTAAAAGCATCTTATTAATTATCCATATTAGGGTCATCCTAAAGAACACCCAATTCCAGGCAAGACTTTCACACTCATAGATCTTCTAACAAGACATTAAACACGTACCATTCAGGTTCCCACTAGAAGACACTGCACTGCTTTGTTTTTGGTTGTCATAAGCAGGACCAATGTTACTAAGATCCTAGAAGAAGAAACAGCCTAGTAAAAAAAAAGGCCACATGAGCAAATTAACCTGTCAACTGCTAAAAAAAAATCAAAATTATAAAAATAAAAATTAGAGCACAGAAAATGAAAACCATAATCCTAAAAAAGCAAGCTCCAAAGGAGCATGTGTACAGCAGGCTGTAAGTCAGGGTCAGAATGGTTCCAGGGTGGAGCTGACCAACCAACCAGGGGGAGAACTGCACAGCAGGCCAGAGAGCTCAGGTCCTCTCTCTGGCCTCTACAGGAATTAGGACCCACACAGCTGTATCCTTCCATTTTATAAAGCAGAAATCTGAATTTCTACTGCCCATTCTACAAAAATGGCCACCAAGATGTACCCCTGGCTCTTCAAATCTGCCACCAAGATATATTCTTCCCTCCCCTAACCCCACCCCAGCTCTTCAAGTCTGCAAGGCAGCAAATCGGCTCCCTCCTCAGTGGCTAGAAGAGGCGGCTGAAGACACAGTTCTTGAGCTTTTGACACAGTACAGTTCTCATCTCAAAAAAGGCAGCAAGTCAGGCATTTTAAGGCAAATCTGAAAAGTTTCGCCTTCTTAGTTTCTTTATCTTATAAGGTTCTAGCAACACAGATTCTCCAAAACTTTCTCCACAACAAAGAATGCTTTTAGAAGCAAAATTTCAGATAACAGGGAGATTAGAAAAACCTTACAAAAACTAAGCATAGCAACAAGGAACAACCAGAATCAAAACTGGGTCCCGAGCCAAACATGGTGGCTCACACATGTAACCCCAGCAAGTGGAAGGCTGAGGCAGAAAGAACTATCATGAGTTGAAGCTAACCTGGGCTACAGTGAGATCTTGTGACAAAAAGTCAAAATACTTGTTACTGGTTCAGGTGAGTATTTTTTCCAAGTATCAATAAGCACTGATTTGGAGTCCACCATGTTACGGGCATGTAACAGCAGCGTGTTTTGGCAGACAGATAGAATTCTTGTGTGCGCGTGTATATACATGTGTTTTGGGGAAAGAGGGGCCTGCACATAAGCAAGCACACTTAGATGGAGGCCAGAGGTCAGCAGCAGGTTTCTCCCTGTCATTGTATGTGGGCTGAGCGCAAGTACACATGCAGAGGTTACAGGACGGCTCCGCACAGTGGTTCTCTCCTCTCTCTACCGCGGGCTCCAGGGCTCCAACTCAGCTCAGCAGGTTTGTGTGGCCAGCAGGTCATACCAGCCGAGCCATCTCACTGGCTCTACCTTGTTTGTTTTGTTTTTTTAAACTTTTATTAATTATAGTTTATTCACTTTGTATCCCCCCTTAAACCCCTGCCTCCTCCCTTCCCGATCCCCTCTACCTTGTTTTTAAAGTCTCCCACTGAACTGGAAGCTCTAGGATGTGCCTGCCTCTGCCCCACACAGTACTGGGCTTACCAACACATGCTGCCAACTTCTGGCTTTCATGTGGGAAGTACGGAGCTGGGGATATGAACTCCTGTTCTTGGGCTGGCACAAGCATGCAAGCATGAAGCCATGCCCAGCCTCTTTTTTTGTTTTGTTTTGTTTTGTTTTGAGACAAGGCCTCATGTAGCCTAGGCCGGCCTCAAACTCATGATCCTTGTTTGCACCTTCTTACTGCCCTACCATGAGCACACCACGACTCCCAGGTTATGAAGTGTTGCAGGAAGGACTCATCCTCTTCACCCACATGCTTCACTACCTGGCTTCTGCAAAAAAGAGCAAGGGGCTGGAGAGACAGTTTAGGGGCTTAGAGCACCTGCTATTCTCCCAGTGGACCCTGGTTCAGTCTCCAGCACCCACATGGCAGCTCACAATTGTAACTCCAGTTTCAGAGGCTCTGCTCCAACTCCCTCTTCTGGCCTCTATAGTCATGAAAGCAACACAGTGCACCTCATATATGAGGGGGGGGGGAGGAGAGAGAATGTATAAAGAAAGATTAATATACCTGATCCAATAGTCCAAATTTGGGGTAATCTTCTTCTGGGTCTTTGCTTCCTGGATCAGGATGTTCCTTTACCAAGAACACATCTCTTTCCTTACTCTAAAGAGGAAACAGTATTTTAGTAATAACGAACCTTTTTTTTTTAAACTTAGAAGTGCAGATGATAAGCCAGCACAGGCATAGTAGCACACCCCTGTAATCCCAGCACTCTGGGAGGCAGAGGCAGGTAGATCTCTATGAGTTTGAGACTAGCCTGGTCTACAAATGGAGTCTAGGACAGCCAAGGCTACACAGAGAAACACTGTCTCAGAAAAAAAAAGAAAAAGAAAAAGAAAAAGAGGCACTTGAAGAACACATGTGTTAGGCTGATGATGTGGCTCTGTTGGCACTGTTCTCGCCAGAACACATGAAGACCTAGGGCTGACCCCTAGCACATCAACACTAGGAATGGGGCATACAACTGTAACACTCTGGAGACAGAGGAAGGTCAGAGATCAGTCACCCTGGGCTACATACTGAGGTCAGGGCCTGGGCTACAAGAGACCTTCTATAATAACAGCAATCAAACAGAGAGAAAAACAAGAGCCAGAGTGTCACAGTCTGCCTCTATCCCCACCTGGGTTAGGCAGAACTGGCAGCCTGTGGCCGACTCTACCCACATGTTCTAAAATCAACATTCTTTTAATAAAAAAAGAAAAAATGGTCTCCAAATTTAATGTAGAGTTAAATGTGCAAAAGTGTGGCAGACATGGGGCTAGAGACGGAGGGCTCAGAGGTTAAGAGCACTTGCTGCTTTGCCAGAGGACCCAAGCTCAGTTCCCAGCATCACTGTCAGGTGGCTCAGAACCACCTGCAATTCCAATTCCATGGGATCCAGTGCACTTTCTGGTCTCCATGGGCAGTGAATACATGTGGTACGTGTACACACACACACACACACAGAGAAACCTGCTGGGCGGTGGTGGCCCATACCGTTTAAACCCAACACTTAGGAGGCAGAGCAGGCAGATCTTTGTAAGTTCAAGGCCATCCTGGTCTACAGAGTGAGTTCCGGGACAGCCAGCACTACACAGAGAAACCCTATCTCAAAAAAAAACGAAAAAAATTAAAATAAAATTAAAAAAAAAAAAACACACTACCAAAAACAAAAAACAAAACAAAAACAGGAAGGGTTTCAGCATATAAAAGAAGTCTTGGAGGAGAATGATACTCATGTAAGACACTGTTACTAACTGAATCATGTAAAAAAATTAAAACTTATTACTACCTATGTCTCATTCAATGATTAATATCAAACTCTTTGCTTTTCTCAGCCATCACATTATTTCAAACTAAACAGAATTTAATTGTTAGAAACAGTACTGGCTTTTTGGAACTGATCACATGTATTCAATTTTAATTTACTTACCATTGTTTTGACAATATTATTGGGCCAAGTCATTTTTCCAGGTCTCTGTCTAGTTGTCATACACTCCCAGTATTTATCAATAAATGGTATAATATCCTAGTTTTAAGAAATAAAATACAGAAAGAATTATAGCTGTTTTCAAAGTTATATACAAGCAGCATTTTCTTTTTTTTTTTTTAAGCTGAATATATTATTACAGCATTTTTTGAGTTCTGTTTCATGCTGAATTTTCTGATTTGTCTACAATATTAGCATTGTGTAAAGGATTTAACAACAACAACAAAAAAATTCAATTCATTTCCTGAGGCTTTTCAAGTGGAATTTCTAAGATACAACAGAGTGTGAGGATGGTACAATGGTGTTCAGTATTTGCGCATGGACAGCAGTCCTCTGAGAGCCATTGGAATTGGATCATGGGGTCTAAGTAGAGTCCAGAGCCATGCACAAACACAGTCAAGTTTGGATGTTGTCTGTCAATAATGGGTTTCTAGTCATATTTTCATTTGTCTCACTGCAGACTTCTCACTCTCCTCCATGAATGCAAGGAAGAGAGTAGCCTTTTTTCTTAGGCTCCCTAAGCCTCTACATGCTGTCTGCGTTGAGCCCTTTTAATGGCAGCATGTCCTAGTAAACCTGCACAAAACACTTCCCTACTTTATTTAATCAAATTTTTCTCTTTGATATTGATTTTCTGGTGTACAATTTTGGAGGAACAATTAATGGCTTCAGCACATGTTGTATGAGAGACTTTTCCTGTGAAGCCATAACATTCATATGCACCCACTCAGCTAAATGGGAATTGACAACAGAAGCAAGTATGCTTGCCAATGAAATCCATCTCATTGAACCAACGGGCTTCATTGGCGTTACTTACACAAATATAGGGATGGAGTTGTACAAGTAGCATTTTCAAAGACTTCACTACAATCAAAACAAAAATTTGCCTGTAGCTTTTATGTACTGAAGAAATATCCACTTGTTCAAAATAATATATGGCCTGCAGGGTGGCTTTGGCATACGATCTCAGCACTTGGGAGGCTTAGGCAGGAGGGTGGCTATGAGTTTCAGGCCAGGGCAGTAACAGTAAAAATCTGTCTCAAAAAAATGAACAACCAACCACCAACCAAATATATAAATTATGGAGATTTCCAGTAAAGTACATACAGATTTTAGCTCTTCAAGGCTTATAAGCCACTTGGGGAGAAAAGTTATATTCCCAGCTAGGGCCCTGCTTGCCAGCTCTTGCTTTCATGACTGAAACAATGTCTGACCTTGATCTTCTGGCATCACATCAGCACCATTTTAGATCATGTTCTAAAACCCACTACCAGCACAGTTTATTCTATGACAACTAAGCATTTACTAAACAGAGAAGGAACATAAGAACACTGCAAGGAAAGGACTCTGTCATTCCAGAAAACAAGGAGGTCAGAAACTCATGGGGAGATGTCAAAAGGTTTTGGCTGTCAAGGTGACAAAACTATCCTGGTCAAATGTGAGGCAATCGAATGTGGGAAATTCGGTGGACTATAATAGTTATGAATTACTGCTCCTAGGGTCACAATGAAAGTAATGTGAGACCAAGGCAAACACAAGAGAAGATGACAAAGACATGACCCGCCACACAACGGCGTTTTACAGTGTGCTTCCCATTCAGAAGACCACACTCTAAAACAACGATAAAAACTACAGTCCAGCAGGGGGTGTGGCTCCCATCCTTTCCATGTTTGCCTGTTATTTTGGCCTGCTGCCCATAATGGCCCTCATCTAGCCAGCTAGCAATTTTTTTCCTACGGGGACAAGAATGAGGTAAGAAACCAGGTAGTCATCTTTGTGTTCTTTCCAGAGGAAGCTAAGACAGCTGTGGCTATAGTATAAGGAAGTGACATGTGACCTTAGAGAGAATCAGGAATGAAGTTTTAGTTGTTGGTTTGTTTTTTTTTTTTTTTGTTTTGTTTTGTTTTGTTTTGAAACAAGGTAAAGCAAGAAGGCAAAAGCAGGAAGACCGTGAGCTTGAAGATGCCGAGTTCCAGGCCAGCTAAAGCTGGATGATTGGTCACACAAGACCTGATTATAGGATGGATGACTTGCTTCAAAAGGCCAACCAAATTTTACTTAAGGATTCATAATATTAACAGTAAGCCAAATGACATCTACTAGAAAATTGGTACATTATAATTCTATATATGGAAAAAAATAAGGTAACCACTAGATGATTTACTCATAAAAACTGAGAACAAACTTACTACAGAGGCTATCTATACGTTTCACTTGACTCTTTAGCATAGTGCAAGTATATTAGTTCTAACGCTACCTTATCTTTGGAGAACATGGTTTTTGGATGTTCATCCTGTGTTCGAGACTGCCAGGTTAGGTTCGCCAAAGCACTAAGGCACATTTCTTTTAAATCTATCAAAAGACAAAAAACAAAAGAAGACGTATTCCATGACACTTGGCTTCTACCAACAGGAGCACATTCAATGCAAGAGGTGATGCTTAGCTGCAGTTTGACAGTCTAAAAGGGATGCAGAGGGACTATCTGCATCAGACTGCGCTGTGGGCATGTCTATGATTATGTGGAGTTCACACAGCCTGCCCACAGTGTTACTCCCTGGGCAAGAGAATCCTGAACTTTATGAATAGAAAAAGGCAAGCAGAGCTTAAACATAGAGCTCTATATTATATAAAGTGTGAGGTCAGTGTGGCCAGCTCCCTCAAATGCCTACTGCTGTGACTTCACAGTCATGATGGAGTGTAACCTCCAACTGTTACCCCCGCCTCAAAACCTTCCCCCGTTAGGTTGCTTATAGCAGCGCATTCTATGCTATCAACAGGTAGAGAAACCAAGACAGTGGTCCAAAAAATAATACTGGAAGCAGCTAAAAGGGAAGTAATAATTGATTTGAAATGGGCAACTGGAATTATTCAGTGCTAAATACCAAGTTAATTCCAACCGGCTCTTAGGCAAAGGTATCCTAAGTGTGCTAACCCAGATCTCTTTAGTTTTCCAAGGGACAATCATCTTTTAAAAATACTCCAGAGTTGTTCTTACTTGCTTGCTTCCGAAGAAAGTAGGTATTCCCACTGTGATGGCACACATTGCAATGGAAACTGTAGTTGGTCATAAAGGGTAGACAGGATCTGCAGACAAGCCAAATTACACAAACTAGTGAACCACTGAACACATTTCTTTTTTTTTTTTAATAATTCTTTTTTTTAAATCACTTTCTTTCTTTCTTTCTTTTTTTTTTTAAGATGTATTTATTTATTATATATACAATGTTCTGCCTCCATGTATGTCTACATGCCAGAGAGGGCACCAGATCTCATTCTGGATGGTTATAAGCCACCATGTGGTTGCTGGGAATTGAACTCAGGACCTCTGGAAGAGCAGCCAGTGTTCTTAACCTCCAGCCCCTGAATACATTTCTATGCCTTCTTTTCTTTAAGAAAAAGTTATAGCATTTTTCCTTCCTTTAAAAACTTTGTTATCACTATATTATTTGTACACATAATGACCACATGTGCCAAAGTACACATGTACAAGCTAGAGGCCAATCCTTGGCTAAGTTTTCTCCTTCCATTTGCATATGGTTCTAGGGAAGTGACTATTTGCTGAGCTATCTCACTAGCCCACTCTCTGGCTTTTTCTGAGATGGGGCCCTGGTCTAGAATTTGTCATCTTCCTGCCTCAGCCCTCTAAGTGCCTGAATTACAGGCATGCATCACTCATTCCACTCAATATACATTTGTCCCTTCAAGATAAAGTCTTAAGGAATAGCTCTGGCTGGCCTAACAGTCACTATGCAGCTCAGCCTAGCCTCAAAAGTAAACCACAAAGACTTACTCAAAGGCAGGAGAATTTGTGCAAATTTCAGACCGACTTGTTCTACAAAGGGCATTCCATGTCAGCCAGGGCTACATAGTTGGCCACTGACTTAGTAGTTATTCGCACTGAGTCAAAAATGCTCACCAATTAGCTACTGACCTTCTCCACAAACAGGAGACCTTTCACTGACTCAAAATGATGTTAATTCTCCAGAATAGCTACACATTTAGAATTAAGTTTTTTTTTCTCCAGAGAACGAGTGTAAGATACATATTGGGGTAAATTATAAGCAACGAGAAAGGAAAGTATGCTTTAGGCATGAAAAACATTGATCACCTCAATGTTTTTGAGAAATTAAAAAAAAAAAAAGTCTTCCTGATGGTGGTCATCCATGCAGGGCTTTGCACACAGTGGGTAAGCACCTCACCACTGAACCACACATGCCTTCAAAGGTCTGTGACAACAGGCTTCACCCACTGCGATCGCCAAACCCAAAACGTATAAAACAAAATGTACTGTCTTGAACTTAATTATATAACCTCCTCTACCTGTGTAGTCTCATTCCCAGTCTGACTGTAAGTTCAAAAGCAAGGACAATGTCTGCATCATACCTACTAGGGCTCTACTTTCTCAAGACTAAAAACTACTCCAAAGGAATGGTAACAGTTCTTCAGTCAGCATACTGGTCCCTGAATAGGTGTGAGGTTGATCACAAAGTACTACCTACTGTTTTTGTCTATGAACTGAATCAACTGCTGAATATGTTGAAAATATTTTTTCTTTTAGTATTTTTAAGATTAAAACATGATTATGTAATTTCCCTTTCATGTGGATGCTGGGAATCAAACTGTATCCTTTGGAGGGCAACTGGTGCTCTTAACTGGGAAGCCATCTCTCCAGGCCCATGCTGGAATTTTATAAAGCACTCTCCATAAGACCATGATATGTACTCACGAAGTGTCTATTCCAAAGGTGTCAGCTGTGAACCATTTTGTACATATTCCACACTGCAGCTCAACTTCTCCCAGCTGTCGACCATTCTCTTCATCCACAGAGCCCCCCTGGGTGTCCATGGCTTCTGAAGTATCCCCAGCGCCCTCCTGGAGCCATGGGACAATATGACAATCAAGTGGGTTGACTGACTACGTTTTTCAAAATTAGATTAAAAATTTAAAAACTAAATCTAGTTTGCCTTTCAAGGGCCTAAAAGGGAATACTTACTAGAGTATCTTTTCCATTAGAAGATTCTGTCTCCAGGCCACTTACATCAACCAAGTTTGCATCCCTATTGAAAGAAGTTTGAAGAGACATAAACATCAAAATGCTATTACAAAAAAAAAAAAAAAAAAAGAAAAAAAAAAAAAAAATACCCCACCATTCTATCTAAATAGTGACAGACATCCTATTCTTATGTCTTTTTTGGCTAAGTCTGTCTAGGACTGGACGCCCAGGAAAACAATCCGAGTATTAGGAGGGATAGAGTCAAGACAAGCACAGTAAAGCCTAGTGGTCATTATAAACGTGGACAACGCTTAGAGTTGGTCCTGGGGGAGAGTCACAGGGATCTGTTGTTTCCTAGTGCTTTCAGAAGGACTGTGATTTCCTCATCCCGGTACTGACGGGAGTTCTCCTTCCTTGGTTACTTCAGGAACTAGTATCAGAAGAGTGAGCAGCTACGGGATGCGAGCGCGGGAAAGAGAAAAACACGCCTGGCTCACACTGGCGCTGATGGAAGTGAGCTCTGAGGTGCAGTACAGAGCCGACCCGCCGCCAAGCAGCCCGCTGGGTTGCAGACCGTACCGGGCAGGCCGAGCCGTTGGCCTCAGGGCCTGGGTCCGGAGAGCTGCACCGGAGCGGCGCGAGGCGCGGGGTTCCACAGGGGCGGGCCCTCCCGCGTTCTCGTGGGCTGCAGATGTCTTACCCACTTTCAGCCTCTCCGGAGCTGGGCTCCGCGCCCGGGGCCGCAGACGGCCCCTCTCCAGCCCCGGCGGCGGCCACCGGCTCCGTCTCTCCCTCTTCTGCCGTTGGGGCACTTGCAGAGGCTCCCGGGCCAGGGCCGGCGCCCGCTCCAGGGCCGGGACCTGCTCCAGTGGCCGCCATCGCTGCCGCTTCCCAGGCTCTCGCGAGACCGCATCTGTGCGGTGAGTTACCGTCTCACACGGACTTCTTAAAGCGGCTAGACCTTGTATTGGGCCCGCCGCTTGTGCGCGAATGGAGCGCTTGGGGTGTGGCTGCTTTAAGGCCAGAAAAGCGAGCGCGACTCTAGAGTGCCGGAGTCTGACGGAAGCCGAGCACTAGCTCTGTCATTTGCTCTCCTCTAGGATTTTACGTGATTTCTTTAAAAGCTCCCGCTTATTTTCGTGGCTTAGAGCGGAAGTCACCGCGCATGTGAGGATTTGAGAGCGTTCCTGTCACACTGTTTTGTGCCGAGCAAAAGTTCATATTGAGACTCGGAGGAAACTTCCGGAAAAACAACAATAACAAAACAGCACTCACTGGCTCACGCCTGTTGTAATTTGCTGTACTCTTAGTGGTTCGCTCCTAAAAGCCCGTTTCCAAATGGCTTTTGGAGCGCTTATAGAGTCTGATAATATAGAGCCCGAGGTAGGTGAGGGTGCAGAGGACGTCAGTGAAAGAAACATCTGGTCAGAGGAGGCTAGAAGTGCTGTGAGCTCTAAGAGCTGTGAGAGCTTTTTCAAGGAGGAAATAAAGCCTAGGTGAGTCTGCTACCAGAGAACAGAGCTGTGGACAGGTTTGGTGCTTAGCAAAAGAAGAGCAGAAACCGGGAAGGGATGGATATTAGCTAGTATACTCTGAGTGAGTGGAAGCATGTGGTCTCCAAACTGTACTGTAACAGAAACTGACCCCTCCCGGTCTCTGTGAGTATTTGTGTGTGTGTGTGTGTGTGTGTGTGTGTGTGTGTGTGTGTGTGTGCGCGCTCACGCTAGTGCGCGTTTATAGACGTTTATAAGACATATAATGCAATTGGTGCACGGGAGAAGTGAGAAGACAACTCGGGGGAATAGATTTTTATTTTTTCCCTCTCCACTGTATGGGTTCTAGGGAGCCGACTTAGACTTGGAAGCAAGTGCCTTTACTCACTGAGCCGGCTCACTGACCATACATTTGCTTTTTTTTTGGGGGGGGGGGGTAAATTTCAGTAGAACAGACATCTTGAAACAAACAAATAAATAAATGTTGGGATCAGATCATTGATTAGTTACTTTTCTTATGCTATGAGAAAACGCCATGCAAAGATAACTTAAAACAAGAGGGGGAGTTTATTTTGATTGAGAGGTTCAGAGGGATAAGGGTCCACGATGATGGAGGAGAGAAATGGCAGCGTGGGGCAGGCATGGTGACTAGAATACAAGGCTGAGCTCACCGTCTTTTTTTTTTTTAAATTTTAACTTTTATTAATTACACTTTATTTACTTTGTATCCTCCCATAAACCCCCCCTCCTCCCCTCCTAATCCCATCTTCCCTCGCCCTTCTTCACGCATCCCCCTCCCCAAGTCCACTGATAGGGGAGGTCCTCCTCCTTCCTTTTGATACTAGTCTATCAGATCTCCTCACGAGTGGCTGTGGCCTGGTAACGCTGCTCCCCCTCAGGGGGAGGTGATGAAAGAGCAGGCCAATCAGATTATGTCAGAGACAGTCCCCAGAAGCAGAAAGACACACATGGTATATACTCACGCATATAGACATAATATAGGATAAACCTACTAAAATCTGTACACCTAAAGAAACTAATCAAGAGGGAGGATTCTGGCTAAAATGCTCAATCCCCACCCCGAAAGACCAAGAGGATGGATATCAGAAGAAAAAGAAAACAGGAAACAAGTTAGGAACCTGCCACAGAGGGCCTCTGAAAGGCTCTGCCCTGCAGACTATCAAAGCAGATGCTGAGATTTATGGCCAACTCTTGGGCAGAGTGCATGGAATCTTATGAAAGAAGTGGAAAATAGTAGGATCTGGAGAGGACAGGAGCTCCACAAGGAGAGCAACAGAACCAAAAAATTGGAACCCAGGGGTCTTTCCAGAGACTCATACTCCAACCAAGTACCATGCATGAAGATAACCTAGAACCCCTGCACAGATGTAGCCCATGGCAGTTCAGTGTCCAAGTGGGTTCCATAGTAATGGGAGCTCACAGTCTTAACCAGAATCACCAGGTGCAGAGTAATCAGCTTCACTTTTCTCTTGTAAGCTTGGCCCCAGGGACATACCTCCTCCAGCAAAGGTGCACTTCCTAACCTCCCCAAAATGTCACACCAGCTGGGGATCAAGTGTTCAGATCCCCAAGACTATGAGGACATTTCTCATTCAAACCACCATAGATCATATACTCCTTCAACAGTAAACTTTCTCTAAAGGTAGTGTGGGCTAGGAATGTAGCCTAGCGTGCAGAAGCCCAACATGACATAAACTGGGCATGGGAGTTTATGTCTGTAATCTCAGAACTGCCGAAGCGGAGGTAGGAAACCACAAATTCAAGATTATCTTTAACCACATAAGGAAAGAGTTTGCAAGGTCTAGGATATGTAAGATTTTTGTGTCAGAACCCCCTTCCCCTCAAAAAAAGTTTACTATAATTTCTATTGATGAAAACCAAAGAGGGTAACTTTAAAGCAAAAATAAGGGAGCCATAATAGATCCTGCGATGGCTCAGTGGCAGAGTACTTGACTGGTATGCTCGAGGCTCTGGGTTCCATCCTCACCTCTGAAAACCAACTGCATATGGTGGCATAAGGTGAACAGTCACTAAATAGCTCCGTATACACATCTTGAGGCACTGGTTAATTTTAAGTGATGGTCCCAAAGTGATAGTACATTCTATCAACAAAGAGATGTTTACCCCCCCCCATGAAACATTTTTCCTGTAAGTCACAACCATCTTCAGCCTTGAGTTTGAGCTCATTTAGTCTTTCACTATTGTGTGAATGGGGGCCTAGATATTTTTTTAAGAATTTTTAAAATGTTGACTAAAATATAGTTATATTATTTCTTCCTTTTCCTCCCTCCAACTCCCCCATGCCTACAGCTTACCCTCTCTCAAATTCATAACTTCTTCTTATTATGTACATATAATATGTACATAAAATGTGCATAAAATATATAATATAAACATATGATGTACATGTGTTATGTGTTCATATTATATGATGTATATGTAGGATACATTATATATAATGTACATAAATATATATTTATATGTGTGTACATCTCTACATTATAGGTACATAAAATGTATACATATAATATGTTGAGTCTATTTAGTGTCGATTGCATATGATTTCAAGGCTGACCACTTGATATTCTGTAACCATTAGGGGTTGATCCCTAAGGAAGACTACTTTTCCTTCTCTTGCTAGTTATTAGCTCTCTGTAGTTGTTTAGAGCAGTGGTCCCTGAGATTTCCCCACTCCATGTTACATGTTTGTTAGACTTGCCATTGTTCGGTCTTGTTTAGGCAGCCGTGTCGTGCTATCTTGGGACATTCCTAGTAGCCACAATCTCACAGCAAAGTTCCCAGTCCTTTGGCTTTTACAGTCTCTCTGTGCCCCTCCCCCTCAATGTTCTCTGAGTCTTAAGTAGAGGAGCTGTATTTTAGATATATCCATTGGGGCTGGGCACTCCCAATTAACCAATCTCTGCATTTGACTAGTTAAAACCTTCACTAAAATATCTGAAAACTGAATACAGACATCCATAGAAGAGATTATCTACCATGGCGAAGTAAATGGGCTTTATGCAAGAGATGCCAGGATGGTTCAATATATGGAGTCAATACATGGGATAAATCATATGAATGGCCGTAAAGACTGAAATCATACGACCATCTCAATAGATGCAGAAAAGTCCTTTGATGAAATCCAACCTGGGAAAGCAAGAGAGTGAGAGCGAACAAGAGAAGGAGACTGAGTTCAGGGAGAAGCGTAGAGTGCTCGTGGCATCAAGTGGGTAATGATCGTGCGGTTGCCAACCATCCTGCAGCGCACAGAACCGCTCCCCCGCAGTGTTAGTCTACTGAAAGTGCCAGTAGGGCCCAGAGTGAGGAGCCCTGATCAACAAATGGGCTGTGCCCAGAGCATGGACAACTTACCAGTAACTACATCACTGAAAAAATTACTCGCCTTATCACAGCAACCATTAATTGTCAGTACTCCCAAGGAAGGGGAGGGCCTCACCAGCCTTTCTGCCACCCACGATTAAATGCTGACACGGCCCGATCTTGTGCAAGTAACCACAGCTACTGTGAGATTATGAGTGCAGTGGCCATTCCGTGAGCAGAGGACACTGGGGACACACAGGTGGTGGGAGGTGCATAGGTTATATAGCCCTTCTCCATTCAGAAAAGGGCTACAGTGCTTACTGGCATCTTTTTAAAAAGTAAATTAAATTTTAAATGAAGTGTGGGGGGGGGGGCATGGTGCAAATGTGGAGGTCAGAGAACAATGTTTAGGAGTTGGTCTTCTTCCAACATGAGCCCTCGGGTATTGAACTCAGGTCCTCAGGCTTTCTGGCAGGTTTTTTACTATCACATTCATGTTTTGTGCATGTGAGGGACAGTGCAAGTGTGGGGGGCAGAGGACAATTTTCAGTACTTGGTTCTCTCTTTCTACTGTATGGAAATATGGATCCAGCAGTTAAAATTCAAGTTGTCAGTCTTGACATCAAAGCTCACTGGCTCTCTTTTCCATTTACTCTCTCTATTTTCTTTTCTCTTTTCCTCTCCCCTCCTGTCCTCCGCCTTCTGCCTTCTGCCTCCTTCCTTTTCAAACAGGCTTCACTATGTAGCTCATGATCCTCCTGGACCATACAGTGCTAGCATACTTAGCATAACACCCTTTCTTATGTTTAGTTTTAAATATGCTCTTTAAAACATAGTGTGCCGGCAATAATTCTATCAAGTAATCATTATGTTTGACGTAAAATAAGACACTGAAGTTAAAGTAGCTCGTTAGATCTTGCACAGTGACTCGACAGAAGGGCTGGGGCTGGAGCTCGGAGCTCCTAACACTTAGATGAGGGTAGTAACTGTGCCACAGCCCAAAGGCGGGTTTTCTAGAAATGACGGAAGAGCTTAGAGGAAGAACATAGAATG